TGCCATTCATCGTCTCCTCGAGGAGAGGCACAATGGAAACAAGAGTCTGTAACAAGAAGGAAAGTGAGGAACACATGAGAGAATACTCAAGGACATTACTAGGAGAGAAATATACCTGGGTCACTGTGCGAATACTATATTCGGCTTGATTTTGATGATTCACCCCCCATCGGTGCGTATCATCGAATGGTAAAAAACTTTTTAGCCGTGATACAGCCTCCTGGGTCCTGCCGACACCAAGGAGAGAGAAGGAGCATGTTGGGAAAGGAGGTTTCCAGCAGAAGACACCTCAAGTTGGGGGTGCTTAGGAGAAGGCGAAAGGTTGGCAGGTTGTGGACCAGTCACCTCGGAGCGAGAGCGCTTCTTGGATGCGTCGCTCTCTTTGGTCGAATGGCCGGAGTGACACTCAACCTGGCACTCGACCTGCCTAGCCGGAGAGGGAGGAGCTCGTTGCTTGCTCGAGTGAGAAGAAGCGCTAGTACCAGATTTCTCCGGTCGAGAAGTAGCATCCCAGGTCGAAGGCGGCCACTTAGCTTTCTCAACAGTGGCCGAGGCGTCCTTACCGGTAGATCTCCTATCGCCGGATTTCTTGAGATCGGGTTTGTGCAAAAATCCCTCTGTACCAATAAGATGCAAAAATCCCTCTGTACCAATAAGAAAATAAATACAAAATGGACGATATTAAAATCGAGCACCTGCTCGAGCTGTCCTATTAACTTCAACAAGTTTAGGATCGACGCGAATTTGGAGAATGGTCTCGGCGAGAAGAGGAGAATGTTTTTTATGGGTCAGAATTCCACAATAGTGGAGGCGGTTATCATCTTCGAGCAAAGGAGTAGAAGCGACGGGATTCGAGTTCCACACTTGTATGCGGCGGTCGAAGACTGGGTTAGTAGGAGGACGAGCAGGTTTAATAGGCACCTCTGTGAATCAGGGGGCGGACGCCCAAGGGTAAGGCTGTGGGGGACGTATATACACAAATTGATCTTTCTATTTTAGAACATTGGATGGTCGATAAGTAATGAAATAAGCTTTATTCCGGCTTTTTAAATAGAGGTCGTCCGATTGTTTCGAAGCAAAATAGCAATAAATAAAAAAATCTAAATCTACTCTACCCATACGGACCATCGACAAAATGACAAAGGACGCTAATGTCCCGAAGGCATTTGGGGTGATTTGGTTGAGAGGCAGGCCATACAAACCGCACAGGTCGATCAATGCCTGGCAGATAGGAAAACGAAGACCTAGGTCGAAGTGGGAATTGGAAGAAGATGTAATAGCCATCAGGAGGGTTATCGTATGTATCATCATCGCCAGGAGTGCAAGAAGTCCCGGGATGACCAATCAAATCAAAGTCGAGACGGGTAGTGCTCGAAGATGATCTAGACGATTTGGACCGCCTGGATGACTTGGGTTGATGGGAGGAAGAAGGTATGGTCGAAGAGATAGGGGCGCGAGAGGATAGAGAAACAAAGTCTTTGTGATCACGAGCAGACAGTGGGATGTGGTCCTGGGGTTCGTCCTCGTCTTCGATCTCGTCATCCTGACCGATAACTCGACGAACACGCTTGGTGGAAGGAAAAGGAAGGCGGCTGGTAACCTCATCCTCCGGTTGGTCGACAAGGTAGGTGGAGGGAGAGATAGCAGTGGCTGAAGGACTATCGCTGACAACAGCAGGTCGAATCACCGAAATAGGCACGGGTTGAAGAATCTCTTGGACAGAATCACTCGATAAACTGGGAGTCGCAGAAGAGGAAGGAGAGGTCATGTTCTTGCCCACTGTACCGATCGTTTTCGCTCGAAGTAGCAGAATCTGAAAAATAAAAGAGAAAAAGAAAAAAATTTTAATTAAAGCAAATAAGAGAAGGAAGAAGAAGGGCGAAACGCGGCACAGTGGAAGGGTAGAAATCGGAGGAACAAGACGCAAGGAGAAGCGAAGGGGAAGAGAAAGATAAAATTAGAAATTATATGAAAGTACTTTGAGAGAGGGTTGAGAAGACTTACTCATGGTGAATGATGCTTTGTCGACTGGAAGATCGAGGACCGTAAAGTTGCAGGAGAGCACGAATTGCAGAAAGCCCTAATGCGATGGAATGCGAAAGTGTAGAAAAGGAAAAATTTCCCTAAGTGTGGGTATTTATAAGGACGAAAAATAAACAGGAGAAATTGCCAACCGCAGGATCATAAAGAGTGAAGGGCTGCGATCAGAGGGCAAACGAACATGCGCGTAGTTTCGAGCCGTAGGATTAAAATAAAAAATCCAACGACAAGGAAAGGGGATACGCGGGAACAAGGCGAGATTTGAGGAAACACAGGTCACGAGGTCATCATGACATCTGACAGGTGAAAGGACGTATCCCAAAAGGGCGCACAAGTGGCAAGATCCAAAATTCAAAAGACAAAATAGCGGTTAGGGGAAAGAGTAGACGCACAAGAGAGGAGAATGCACTAGATGGTCGAAGTAGGTGGAGTAAAATCTCGGCGACATAGACAAGCCTTACTCTTAGATTGAGTCATTCAGACTCGACCAGAGTGGGGGAACTAGATGATATGGGATATTATATACCAGACTGGTTCGTTGGGCTAACCGGGAAAAATAGATCAGTGGTCTGGTCGAACATCCCCAATTAAGGAAAAAAGATAGGCAGTGGAGAAGAATAAGTATTAGGGGCTTGAGCATCTGGTCGAAGAAGAGTGATCAAGGGGTTATGGTCGAGGATTCGACTATATTATGCCTCAGAGATAGCTCAGCGTTTACTAAAGGTCTGGTTGAGCATCAGAACAGAGGAAAGAGCCTCCAGCACGTGGAAGGAAGACACATGGTGCTTCACGAGTGGCCCGCGGCTATAACGAACTCTGACATTCTCTGACAGATTCGGCGCATTTGACATCAGGGATAATGGAGGTGCGCGGTTGTACGGAGGAGCAGAGGACAGCTGGCCAAACTCGCCCAAGACGCGCGTGTAGAACAGGTAGCTCGTCCCTATAAATAGGGACGAGAATCCTCACTTTTAGACACGATCTCTCATACTCTTACATTTTTACACACACATATTTTATCTCTCAAAATCTGACTTGAGCGTTGGAGGCTCTTCACCGGAAAATACCTCTGGTGTGGGAGTTTCGTGCAGGTTCCGCGTTCAACCGGCGAGGAGAACGAGCTTGAGGCAGTTTTCAGCCGGTCGGGGTGCGAGACTTGTATTAATGTGTTTAGACCTTGTATTACGACCACTCGTCTTCGTCACGCCGCGCTGCTTAAGGTATGTTTGATTTAAGTATTAATGAAAATACTTGATATGTAAATAGTACACATGTGGCAATGAAACTACTTATGTTGAACTTGTGATTTGGGTAATAGGATCTATCCACCTTGATTTAATCGAACTCTAGTGTTTAATGGCAAACTTTAGAATTCTGTGATTATGATTTTTTTTGTTTGTGCTAAACTTTGTTCAGCTTATTCAATGTAGAATTATAAATACCCGTAACAACCGTAGCCATCATCCATCCCTGTCTCCTTCCCCACCTCCTCATCATCACCAGGCCCCTCCGGCCATGGACCTTACTCGGCTCATAATCCAGTTCCAGAACATGCATACGCCGACTTTCATGGGGAAACCCCACCACGGTACTGGAATGGATCAAGGAGCTGGTAAGATCTTCGCTGTGCTCCCCCTCCCAGACAGACAACGTGTTTCTCTCGCAGCTTACCAGATGAAGGAGGATGCTTCCGACTGGTGGATTGACCACTGGGCTCGGAGGCCAGAGGCTGAGCTTAACGCTCTTACTTGGAAGCAGATGAAGGTGATGGTGCGCATCAAGTTCCTTCCCCAGAGTTCTTGAGATCGGATGGAGCATGAGTTCTACCATCTGCAGCAGGGCAACTCCACCGTGGACGAGTATATTCGCATTTTCACCAAGATGTGCCTTTTTTGCTGGCGACTCTGTGAATACTGATGCTAAGAAAGCCCGCAAATTCCTTAAGGGGCTTAATCAGAGGATCCGTGAACTAGTGGGGAGTCACGGAGCTATGTCCTTTGCCGATACCGTGCTGCGGGCACAAGAGGTGGAGAGTTGTTTGATTCCCGTAGCTCATGTTCCATCATATCATCATGCTTCTTAGCCCTCCCAGACCGTTGTTCAATATGCCCAACCCATTTTCTCCGTGCCGCCCGACTCTAGTTCGGGCAAGAGAAAGGCAGATTCCCACCAGAATAACCGGAAGAGAAAGCGAGGAGGTCCAAACCGGCGCAATCATCCCTCTTCTGGCAACCGAACCTGCAAGAAATGTGGCAAATACCACAGTGGCGAGTGCTTAGCTAATGAACGAACCTGTTTCAACTGCAACCGACCGGATCACTATGCTAGTGTCTGTCCTGAGCCCAGTAGGCAGCATCAGTTCCCTCAGCAGTAGCAGCACTTCCCTCAGCAGCAACTTCCCCCACCGCCGCCACATCAGCAGCAGCAGCAGCCCCCACCATTCCAGCAGAGGGCTGGGGGTCAGGCCCGTATCTATACCATTATCCACGATGAGGCCGCCCGCAACACAGGTACTATGTCCAGAATGCTTTCTATCTCCAACGTGCCTGTCTTTGCATTGTGTGATACCAGTGCTACCCATTCTTTTGTTGGGACATATGAGGATCTCGATATGCACAATTCACGGACAAACATTCAAGATAAACCTATGCGCAGTGGATCTAAAGGTTTGATGAAGAAAACTTACTGCTTGAAATTTATGTAGATCTGGCTGGCCCGGACAGATGACCGCAAATCAAATCTTCTCGGAATCGAACAAACATG